CTCAGGCCCGAGTTTTGTTAGGATCGGCACTGGAGTTACTCGGCGAGTTTCTTGACTCAGGAAAAAATCTTGAGTCGGCGAGTTACTCGGCTAGGCATAAATTGTGTTTTGTTATATCTGAAAAGTTTTAAATAAATAGGGATATTGCGGATTGTATAAATTATGAGCGGGTATTTTAAAAATTGGAAATAATAAACCTTAAAAAGTCGAGGTTTAGAAGTATTTCATACATATTCTCATTCGAACAGTTCCTCCTAATCTCTAGGTAAGTTATACTCCCCCATGACTCTATCTTTTTCTTCATTTCTTCTTCATTAAATTAGTTTTTTTCATATCTAAGAATTATGAGAATAATATATTACTGCGTACTATAATTTCAGATATTTGTATTTATTTAAAATTAATTATATAGGACCGAGTAGCCTCTGAGTAATCCAATGTATTCGGTCCTACTCGGCATTCGCTACTCGGCCAGTCGGCCCTTGACTGAGTTGCTACCGAGTAGCGATGTAACTACTCAGATATCATTATTACTTTCCAGAAAACAATCCTTTGGCAGGGAGACCAAGCCTTGCTCACTCAAGATTCAATCCATGACTCAATATGGCGAGGCCACATGTGACACTGATTAGGCATGGACACGGTCCGGTCCGACCGGCCCGGGAACCGGATCGGCCCGCTACTGTGCGGGACCGGCCCGGACCGGGAAACCGGTTCCGATTCCGGTTCCGGGCCTAGGCCCGGCCTGAGGGGGTAGGGCGGGGCGGTTCCGGTGCAAGCAAAAGGTGAACCGGTCCGACACTCTGGCCAGTTTGGGCCTCTTTTTTTTTTTTGGGGCTGGGTTTAGGTTGGCTGGGTTGGGTGATTCCGAGGGGTTTGGGGGTTGGGGGGTAGGGGTATGAAATAAATAAATAAATAAAAACGGAACCGGCCCGGAACCGGTATCCAACCGGGCCGGTCCTGGGCCTAACTTTAAACTTTCCAGGCCCGGCCGGGCCTAGGCCCGAACCGGAACCAGACCGGGCCCGGTCCACCACTAACACTGATTTGACCGATTATAATTTCCCAACCTTTTAGTACACCTAGGCTTGGACCTGGTTCGAGCCACCCGGCCCGGGAACCGGCCCAACACTGTTTGGTTTGGGGCTTTGGACTGGGTTTAAATGGGCTGGATTGGGTGTTTCAGATGGGTTTGTGGGATAGGGGGGATGGGAGGGTAGGGGATAAAATAATCAAGCAAACAAAAAAAAATATAGAACCGGACCCGACGTGGCCCGGCCCGGACCGGCACCGGTCAACCTCTGGGCCGGTCCCGGGCCTCACTGATTTTTTTTTTTACCCCGGCCGGGCCTAGGCCCGACCCGGTTGAGTCCATGCCTAAGTACACTTGATGATGTAATATTATAAATACAGAAAAGTGGCAAAATAGGGGCAAAAAACATGGTCATGTGTACAAACCAAAAAATGTTTGTTGTGTTAGAACTTATAGTTGGTATAATTTAATAAATACGAAAGTTAACTTAAATAGGAGCAAATTTTAGTATACAAATAAGAATATGCTTGTTTGTATTAGAAATACTCCTAGTACTCATTTAAAGTGGCGGAGCCACATACAAGGGTGTGGTGTCAATTGACACCACTCAAAGTACACACACATATATGAAATAATTACATATTTATAACTAAAATAAAAGTTATTTACAAAAAGTAATGGCTTAAGTGTCGTGACTACATTAGAAACTTTAGTTATAGTAACATATGTTCAATTTTCATATTTAAGTGGCCATAACACTATACTATAGTAAATTTTAGTGGTATTTATGTAAATAATTAAGTTTAGTTCAAAAATATTTTTAAGAGTCAAAATACATTTATTTAACTAAAAAAAATTACATGTATTAAAGGCCGTGTTTGTCAATCAGCGGTTAGCGGACATTGTTAGCGGATTAAAATTAAAATAGCGGATTGAGTCAGTGGATTTGACCAGCGGATTAATTTGGCGGATTGCCAAAAAATGTTTGGTAACTTGGCTATTTGTTTATAGCGGTTAGCAGGTAAAAAGACACATGAGGACATGCCATGAATAAATTTTAATATTCATTTTTTTAATAATGCTATTGATGTATTACTACGGAATTGGGAAAAAGTTCAACTTACTCATTAACTCAATACAAATGCATATCCTCTGTCATGAACCATCTAGTAATTGATGAATGGAACATTTGAGTCCAAATAAAACTAGTAATTTCATGAACCATCTCTCTGTCATCAATCTCTGTTGAATCCTTATCATATGTTTTATTTTTATTCCTAACCGACTTTCACATGAGTTACTAGAACTCAAACAACAATTAGCATTAGCATATGCGGCGTAGGTTAGTCGTAGTTTGGACTACAAAAATCCAATGAAATGCAAGTAGAGTCAGATGCGATTCTTTATTAGACACCAAAAATCTAGAGCAATAGCGAGTTTTAGAACATCTAAAGATGTTCTAACTTCCGGCGACTCAGAGGGTAGCAGACCTTCAACATATGCAGCGGAAAACAGAATAGAAGAAGAGGAAGAAGAGAGGACAGGTTTGGCAATCCAATAATTAATTGAAAACGCCAAAGTGTAAACGCTCCTAGTTGCAGCGATTTGATTTTGGCGGATTTCATCCAACACGCTGAGCAAAACCTCTCTTTACCAAACGTAAAAAGAACGGCGTTTCCAGTCTTTCAAACAGTTAAATTGGTCAAACCCTTCAATTTCTGGCGGAAACGCCAATTACCAAACACAGCCAAAATCTAGCCATGAATAATATCCTTTACTCATTTCAATAAATGATGCACTAGAGGTCGAGGAAGTTCAAACTCAAAGTTTCTACTCATTTATTCAATTACTCATTTATTCAATTACTCATTTATTCTCTACATAAGTTCAAACTCAAAGTTTCTACTCTATTATGCTACGCTACAAGAGGTCGAGGAAGTAATTGCCCATTTGTTGGCCATGCATGTTTTTGGCTCATGGGTTAACTTTTTCACCAAACACGTAAATTGTGATTTCGTGCGCTGTATTGTATAATAATCAAAATAAGTAAGTTGAATCTTCTTTTCTGAATTGGCTGAAGTTACAGCAGGAAATCATTTTAGGTATTTTTCCATATTTTTATCAAAATATATTTTAACTATAATTATTCATAATTCAACAAATTAAACTTTTTAGCCGTTTCCGCTAGAACTTCATCAATTTCAAAAAAATTGAACTAAATACTTCAAATTTCATTGTTACTAAACTGGATCTTTTTGAATGAATGACTATTAAAACAATAAATCTAAGCACACGTTTGTTGGGTACACGGCCACACGAGTACATGTTTGTGCATATTCAAATATAGCATCTACTGTGAAATTAAAACTAACTAGTATAGTACCCGTGCGATGCACGGGTCACACAGGTAATAATTATCATAACATATTGTTATTTTAGGAAATATAAATATTAAAATAATGATGTAATAAAGATGGGAAGAATAAATATGTATGTGAAAATACATATCATAGACAACAAATAAATTTCATACAAATTTTGAGTCCTAAATACTACCTCCGTATTTTTTGTTTGCTACAATAGGTGTTGGCACATTTTTTAAGAGGGAAATAGTAGAGGTAATAAATAGTGTAGAAAAGGCATGAGAAATGGTGGAAAAGTATGAAAGATAAGATAAAAAGTAGAAAAAATAAGGTTAGTTGAGTATTTTTAAAGAAAAAAACTTACCATAAAGGGCTTAGTGCAGCAAATTTTTGAATACAACCAAAAAAGAAAAGTGCAGCAAACAAAAAAATACGGAGGGAGTATATGATATTTATCATTAATATGTCTATCATTTTTATCACATCATTTATATATATATGAACTTTCAAATGAGCAGATTTGTAACAAAGGACAAAACATGGATTAATTGACCATGGCTAAAAACATATGTTCGAAATAATTATTTAATTATATAGATTTCACGGTCATGAAATACAATTCGTAAAATTTTGATGTCTCCGATTACCTGATGTCTTTTAAACATCCAAGACCTAATTCATCAGCCTCATTGTAATTCTATATTGATCTCTGAAAGATAAGAACACTTCAACCTCAAAATTATTCAAAGCTGTGTCGTATAAATTTAAAATATTTTGGATAGTAACCCATTACCTGTACAACAATTAATATTGTAGTATCTACTTCTTTCTGGTAGACATTTTTAGGGAAATGCAGACCTCGTTCTAGTTATCTAGCTTGAACAAACAGATTAAACAGAGAGATGTTTTTCAAACAATCTTGAAGAAACGCAAGGATATCTATTATATTTGCTAGCATTCACACACCATACAAAAAATAGAATTAAGATCATTTTATTTATACATTAGTGAAAGTTTCTTACCTGACACCACTTGCGTAAATGTGTATGCATTTTGCAGGGTTGTGCTTTTAAAGAATTTCTTTGTTCAGGGATCGGTCGTTTGTTCAGAATTCAATTGTGATGATATTGCTTTGTAATGGACCCCCTTTTTTCGAACAGCAAAGGATGTTCCCATCAGAATACAGCAGTTGCTTAGTACTTAGTAGAGTGTGAAGGCATTTATCTTCATAATTGTTGCCGCCCAATAGTGTAAACAATTTCAATTTTTGTAATTAATGTATTTCAATTGGGAATGTTATCTATGTCATATTTATTGAGTTGAATTATTTCAAGTGGTTTCTGAACTCTTCGTGAAGCACAACTACACAACATAGGGATGATAGAAAGCCAAACCAACATAATTATTGCATTTAATTCAATCAGATTAATCTAGATGCCAATGCAGTTCCCGTCCAAATAGGCGCCAAAAGGGTTGCTCCACTATTCCGTTTTAATATATAATATATAATATAGATATAGATTAATTTTTGATCATCCAATGAAATGAATACATACAATCGTGGAATGTACATAGCCATAAACCTTAGCTAAACTTCTCCGGTTAAAAAGAGTAAAACTGTGTGCTTAACGAGACTAGAAGACAAGGAGTCATTGGGTGCGACTTTATGGCCTCCATCAAGCAGCAGAAGAAGGAGCTTCATATAGTTATGTTTCCATGGCTTGCTTTTGGGCATATCACCCCATTCCTGGAGCTCTCCAAGTCCATAGCAGCAAAGGGTCACAAAATCTCCTTCATTTCCACTCCTCAGAACATAGATCGCCTTCCCCAGCTTCCACCCGGCCTGGAATCCTCCATAGCCATGGTCAAGATCCCGCTTCCTCGCGTCGATGGACTGAGATAGGAGAACGCGGAGGAGATGCCTTACCTCAAAGAAGCCATGGATGGCATGGAAACAGAGGTGACTCGTTTCCTGGAGAGAGCCTCCCCTGATTGGATCATCTTCGACTTCGCCCAGCACTGGATCCAGGGGCGGACCCAGGAAATTGATATTGGGGGGCGATAATTTAAACAAAAAAAATCTATGCGATTATTATTATAAGTTATAACCTTAATATAATACGGAGTAGGAGTAATTAAATGAAGCGTTATAATAGAAGAAGAGACAAATATATTATTACAAAATAGTTAAAATTAGTACCTTAGAATTGTACCCAACGCTTCTTCAACGAGATAAATTCCTCAATCACGGCTTTTTAGTCAAAAGTTTTAGCAACTAAGAGTAAGAAGATCCAAAGCACCACTAAGAGTAAGAAGATCCATTATCTGTTCACCGCATAAGGACGTTCAATATCAAACCCTTCTTGATCATGGTGTTTGCGTTTTACCGCATAAGGAGACTTCATATTAGGAACTTCAATTTCATGCTTTGTGCAAAACTCTTTAACAATTTCTAAGAAGTTATCCCATCCACCCTCTCTTAACTTTTGGATCAACATTTTGGTGCTTGACACCAAATGCATAGCATTTACTATGTCTTGGCACTTCTTCTGTATATGCTGACATAGAAGATCTGTAATGCCCATAATTTCTTTAATAAGATGCAACAAGAAAACAAAATCAAAAGATTTAATCTTCTTAAGTTCTCTAACTGCATTTCCACGAGTAGAATAGTTATTGCCATTCCCTTCAACATCTTCTAAAACAGAACAAGTTGCAGCAAACATCCTAATCAAACTGCAAACAGAACTGAAATGTGAGCTCCAACGAGTTTCCCCAGCTTGTTGTAATGTACCAACCTAATTAAGTCCTCTGCTTGTTTCAAGCTCACCAATTTCCAACATTCTTGCAATTTCAAGTGCTTGAGCTTCCTTTAATTCATCACTTCGTTTGCAAGAAGAATTAGTCACATTAATAATAAAGACTGAATCGATGAAAAAATTGTGCACATATTTCACCTCTCTAGAAGCAGCAACCAATGCTAATTGCAACTGATGGGCTAAGCAATGAACGTAGTAGGCATAAGGACAATCATTTAAAAATAATCGATCTTTCCGTTTCTTTCTTCTAGGTGCGCATGTTTTTCATTAGTTTGGTTTGGGCGGTGGGCTGGGATTAGATTTTGGGGTGGGTTAATGGGGAATAAATTTTGGAGTGAGTTGATATAATATTACTTGTAAAATTTCTATTTTTTTAGGCTCTTAAACAATTGGGTTTCTGCAAGTGGGCTATGCTTTGGGGGAGAAAATATTTTTTGGGGGGGGTTCAAAATTTTTCTTGGAGGGGCGAGAATTAAATGTTGAGGGGGGGGTAAAAATAAAAATTTTGTATATATATATACTAAAAAAAATTGTTGGGGGGCGGCAGCCACCCTGGGTCTGTACTACGGTCCGCCCCTGACTGGATCCCGCCTGTTGCGGCCAAGCTTGGGATTTCTCGGTGTTTCTTCAACACGGCTAGCCCCTGGTTCTCCGCTTTCTGCTCTGCCGAGAAGGCGAAGGAAAAGATGGGTGCAGGATCCTCTCCGCCCACGGTGGAGGACTTGTTAGTCAGGCCAAAATGGATTACCTTTGACACCAGAGCTACATTCACACGGTATAGTTATGATATGAAACAAATAATTTTGCAATGATATGTGAAGAAAAATATGTAGATGATTTACGGCCCATTTGGATTCAGTGCGGGGAGTGTTATTAATGGAAGTGTTAATAAGTGTTGACAGTAACACTTGTTTGGGAGAAAAATTAAGAGATGTTAAGAAGTGTTAGTGAGGTTACTGTGCCTAGTGGGAGGTCTCGAGTTCGAATCCCGTTAGACACACAATGGTGCGAAACTCAATGGAGTGGGTTTTTCCATTCTATCAGAAAAATTAAATCATCACTGATTACTCCAGGCTCCCCCCAGCCCCCCTCCCCCAGACCCCCCTGGAGTAAATAATAATAATAACCTTCCCAACACCTCAATTGTCCACTTTTTTAACACCCCGATTTGGAGTATTTTGAGGTATTGGACAATTATTACGCTTCTCATATACCTCAAAAATATAAAATGCTTCGACATCTCACTTCGAATCTCTTTCCTGCATATCTGATAGTTTGCCTTTTACTCGTTTCTTCTGCCTCAAGCTAAGGTAAAATTATTAACACTTTCATTATTAACACTTCATTTATTTGACTCTCACAAACAAGGTAAAATTATGTCTAATACTTACACTTCCCTTCCTTTCCAAGCCCTTACTAACACTTAGTAACACTTCCGGTACTAACACTTCCAAACACTCTCAACAGAGAAATAATACTGTACATTTAGAAAATCACTCTTAACAGAGAAAGAATTTCTTTATTTTTTCGTATGACAAACATTTTTGAATGTAAATATATTTGTAGTAGAAGGTCAACCTTTTATCACAGCAATTAAACATGAAATATTGCCTAATATGTGAACCAAAATAAAACAAGGCGGATTTGATCGAGAAAAAATGTTGTCAAGTAAAACAAAAAACTATAGTAGAGCTGAATTGACTAGAAATGTAACGAATGAGATGAGATTATGTAATTTAGAAAATGAAAGTCTCATTCATTTATATTTTTTATGTCAACTATAATGTATCCATAATAAATATAAATAAATTGTCCCAAATAAGATTAAAGTATAAACAAAGTGTACAAATTGTGTTTTATTTTCAAAATGTAACTTGTTTTATTCTATTATTGTTATTTGTAGACTTTGTATACGTAGTTATTTTAATTCTTTTTTAAGGAATTTTCTCTAACTACTCCGAGGTATACAGGTATGAGGCAAAATGGATGCTCAACTCACTAACGAAGGTATCTGTTGGAACAGAGGTTGACCGGATTATAGCAGTGAAGAATGGTTCAAACCTACTAATCTCCCGACACTGCAATCATTTCGAACCAAAGTGGGTTAAATTGCTGGAGTCTAACAGTCGACAACCCATACTTCCCATTGGGTTAATGCCACCGACAGTTCATGTTAGTGATAATGATGACAGAAGCGAGGCTTGGATATTCATTAAGGAGTGGCTTGACAGACAACACAAATGCTCTGTGGTGTATGTAGCACTAGGGAGCGAGGTGGTGGTCGGACCGAGTCAAATCAATGAGTTGGCTCACGGGTTGGAACAAAGTGGGGTTCCATTTTTTTGGGTTGTGAGGACTCCGGTGGGAAACCACTCATCATTGGGCATGCCAGATGGGTTCGAAGAGAGGATCAAAGGGCGGGGAATAGTATGGAAGACCTGGGCACCTCAGAAGAGCATACTGAGCCACGACTCAGTCGGCGGGTTTTTGACTCATTGTGGTTGGAGTTCTATCATCGAGGGAATCACATTTGGTCACCCACTAGTCATGCTTCCCTTCTTGGTTGACCAAGGGATTAATGCTCGAGTTATGGAGGACAACCAGGTCGGCATTGAAATCCCAAGAGATGAAGAAGACGGGTCATTTACGAGTGACTCGGTGGCTGACTCAATAAGGTTTGTGATGCTTGAAAATGAGGAGGGTAAAAAAGTCCGAGAGAATGCCAAAAGGCTCAGTTCCATCTTTGGTGATCAGAAGTTAAATGATCAATGCATGGAAAATCTCATTACCTTTCTTGAAAATGAGAGGAATGTTTAAGTAAGCTATTTAAGACCTTTTCGAGTTGATACATATAGAAAAAATCTTATGTGTGTTGGTTGATTTGTAATGTTGTGTGTATTCTGTTGAGTTGCACTTGCTAGTTGCTACTCGATCTTGAAAATTAACGCAATATTTCTGTTTTGACAAAAACGTAAATATGTCTTAGAGTTCTGTTTGATATACTTCATTTTTACAATACTCTCACGATAAAACGAGTAACATTGTGAAACAAATTTTAAGTATTGAGTTAAAATTGATCGCAAATCAAAATGTATAAGAAATATCGGGTTCAATCTCTAAATATGAATCGTCTCCATCTTTTCTTGCAATTCGAAATAAATATAGTTCATGAATTTAATTTGAAATCACATCTTTAATTTTTCAAATGTTCGAACATTTTTCAGATCTATAAATATTAAAAGTTATGGGGGCATGTATTTATAAATATTTTTAAAGTTATGGGGGTGTATTTAGAGACATTAAAAGTTATTAAGTTACAAGATTTTTCCCTGAAAATATATACATATATTATCCTCTGACTTCTGCCTATTCATGTCATTGAAGCATTTCACATTATCAAAATAGTTAGAAATAAATTCAATTTTATCACATATACACTAGTGTATCTCGAAATATAAATATAGTCAATAAATCATTGATTTAAAATGAGAACGTGTCCAAACAACCACAATTTTGAAATTAAAAGTGCAAGTACTCAAAGTTCTTGGATAATTGAGATAGAAAACAATAATCTAATAAAAAACTAAAAGTTCTGATACATATTTCAACTAGAGTTACTAATTTCTAGGGATAATATTGTTTTCTAAAAAAATAGCCACCAATTCTGGTTCATCTATATGGAAAGGTTGCAAACTGAAGTACTGTTGTATCCTCCACCGACATCCCACATTTTACTTGTCATCCATACATTTAGTTTTGTGCGAGATTAAAACAAGGTAAAGTTTTTTGGTGGTTTTGACACAAATAGTACAAAAAAAAGGTAATGCACAAAAAAGAGACCTTTTTTCTTCATTTCCAAAAATGTGACTAAGAAGCACATTCTTTACTAATTTACCCTTACTAAGTTTATAACACCATACCAAACTACCGATGTAGCGCAAGACTATCACAACTAACGTTTTTATCTACTCTGGAGTAAATGAGTAATTCATTATTCTTTCAATGTGATCCATAATACTATAAATCTATGATATTATTATAATATTTGTTTTTTTAATTATTTTTTTATTTTAATATTTGAATATTAATTCTAAACATAAATATTAGGATATGAAAATTGTGTGACAACTGTGCAAGTGATCAATGCCTTAGTTATTATTATTCCCTTGATAACCGTCTCAGTTACTACTACGGCTCAAGTGATCAGC